TCCGTTTAAACGACAGTGTATGGTGGGTCCCCACTAGGCAGCCATATATAAAGGAGGAGTGTCCACCTTTAGAGCCTTTTCCCACCTTGGAGCTTTCTCTCTCTACTTTCTCTCTCTAAAATCGGGTTTGGCTCAAGAACACCACTTTCAAGCCTCAAAAATCAAAGGTAATCTTCCTAACTTGATTTTCTAGCTTAGTATTCATGCTATTTCGAGTTGGATCATCCAAATACCCCAACATGCATGTGTTTACGGTTTGGGGAGCCTCCCAAAACCGTGAACTCCCAAAAAGGGGTTTAGAAGCCCCAAAAACACTTCCAAACCTCTTCTAATGCTTAGATCCTTACATGCATGGAGTTAGAACCACAAGATCATGAGTTTTTGGCCATGAACATGAGTTTACGGTTCTTGAATGTTCAAAAACCGTAAACACCCTTTCAAGGGGTTTTGATGCTCCTTAACCCTTCCAATGCATGTCTAATGGCCTTAAAACTTGCTTGGATGATCTTAGAACCTTAAAACATGTCCAAAGAAGTGTAAACATGAGTTTACGGTTTGGGAACGTCTCCCAAAACCGTAAACACCTTCCAAGGGTGTTTTAATGCTCCAAACACTTTGCATGGCTTGTATTTGAGTCTAGAACTTGCATGAATGGCCTACAAACCACCAAAACACTTGGAAAATGGACAAACATGGACAAAGGTGGGTTTACGGCCGTAAACCCATGAGTTTACGACCGTAAACTCCCCAAGGGTGGTCCAAGGACCGTAAACCCTAGAGTTTACGACCGTAAACTCCCAAGGAGTGGTCCAAGGACCGTAAACTCCAAGGGAGTACCCAATTGAACCCTAATCACTTCCAACGCCCTCGAATTGATCCTAGGAACTTTCCTTGTGATGCATGAGACCTTTAGACACACAAACTCACCATTTCCATGAGTTTACGGCCGTAAACTCATGGGGGAAATGGTCTCCCAACCGTAAACACACTTAAGTGTGGCCAAGTGAAGTGTAAACTCCATAGTGAGGCCATACACTCCTTAGATGCAACCTTTAGCACTCCTAACACTTGAAACAAAGTGTTTTCATACATTAAAGTGCCTTTACTCACTTAATTAGTGATTACACAACTAATTAGATACTTTATACATCACTACATGTTACATAGGATCCGTGTGTGTGTTCAAGTCCTCACTTGACACCTAGCATCCTACCCGGCGTTTCCATCCACTTCACTCACTACAGGTGAGTTCATACCCCTAAATGAACCTTTTTAAATGTTTTTAACTGTTTTATGGGGGGGAATACAAGTTGAACCAAATAAGTTATAGTAACAATCGCATGTGAATTATAACTTGCAACCAAAAGGATTTTCTACACTATTAACTGTTTTTACCACCAAAAAGGGATTTTCTATATTTTCAACTATATTGCCAATTAAACTGTTTTCAAATGCTTACCAAATTCATTTTCGTGTTAAATCACTATAAAACTATTTTCGAAAATTCTTTTAAACTATTTTTATTCCCAAACCATATCTACACCAATATATTTATATAAGTAAGACTTGAAGGACTTAGGACTAATAACTCACCTTACTTCCTGTTCTTGTTTGATTGTGGGCTTAGGGTATTTTGTTATTAGTCCGACTCTCGTTGAATTCTTAGTTATATATCTCATATATTTGTGTCAGATATAAAAGTTTTCATATCAGTTCAATGCCTTTGGATATCAAAGACATGCAACCAACAATACTATTTAACTATAATAGGTATAGTTAAGGGATACTACTCAACACTACTATTGCCATGACAACTACTAGAGTCAGTTCAGTTGTGAGTCAATACATGCTATGTACTATACAAGAGAACACTATATACTATACAAGGAGAACACTATATACTATACAAGAGAACACTATATACTATACAAAGAGAACACTACATACTATACAAGAGAACTTACTAAAATAGAATGTGACATACTATTTCTCGATACGACACATCTTTGTGCTATCACCGCGTAACCAGAGTCTCCTGGAGGGAGAGCGGGCATTATGTGTATAGATCTATACGGGACAGACACTCCCACATCCCGACTGCTAGCTACAGTCCGAGCCGTCTAGGCCCAGGGGTGACAAAATGTCACATCTACATATGACTCGGAGGGTCAAAGGGATTCGATCGTCAATCAGCATGGTTACGTACGAGTTCACATTCAAACCTTTAATTAATACTTTAAAGATTAAAGGCAACAGACTCCCTGAGGAGTATTGTACATTTAATACTACCTGGAGCCTGCATTTCATTACATATGGCCGACAGTGATACTGTTGGGGTAAAACATTTTTCTCATTACTATACATGGATAAAGTCAAACTATATTTTCAAACAAATAACTACTGGGAAAACTTGTACATTATCAAAGGAACAAACAAACCATCGGGTCTTGGTGAAGACTACTTTTCTGGAAAACATAGGGTTTTCTAGGGCTCATACTAATTTCGAACACCGAAACTTTCTTTTACAAATGTATAATTGTGAACATTTTTATACAGGAAATGACACTAAATACTTATGAACTCACCAGCTTTATGCTGATAAACGTTTTCAAAATAACTTGTATTCTCAGGTCATCAGTAGACAGGTACGGATGCAGCTTTTGAGAAGACGGAGCACACATAAGACTCCACTTTATTTTGAATGTATTTTTGGTGTCTAACATTTGTACTAAACACGTTTGTATTACAATTATTATCTTAATGCAATGGATGTTGTTGCTTGTCTTTACTATTATGCTTTGTTATGATACTGTACATGACGTCCTCCACCCCAGAACGTATTCCGCCGTTCTCGGTTTTGGGGTGTGACAATTTTTGATCATCTTGACTCATTGGATCAAATTTGTTTCAAGCCCAGTTGTTATGATCCAATACTTTTATTTTTATTGATCTAACCCAAAACACCATTAAATTCATTGGATCTAATATGTTTGAGCTCAAACTCAATTTGATTTCGATTCACTGTTCATTCCATCCAATACTGTTCAAATATCTTTGGCCCTAATTCAAAAGTCTTTCTCGACAATCTGAGTCTAAGTTTCATGTTGTTTCTTTCACGATACATTTGCTGGATCTCATTTTCGTGTCGTTGTATCAACAATTGGAATACATCATCTGTTCGATTCTTGTTCCTTATTATTGCAACTCAAATTGATTTCATAAGTAATATTGATTTGTTCTTGACATTTGCTTGTTCATATTCATATCAAAATTCATTCGATTACACACTCATTCAAAATTACTTACCGATTCAAGGTTTCAACATAATATTTCTTTGATTGAGTATTCTTCTTTCACATTCGAGTTCATCTTGTGTTCTTATATTCCTTATACTCGATTGTGATTCAATTTGTTTTCTGTATTTCGATTGAATAATTGTGAAAGTTGTTTGTTGGGAGCAATGAATGGTGACTTGATGCGAAGAGAATTGACGACTTCCGAAGGCAGTCATAGTTTCTTGTTATCTCTCACAACTATCCATTTGTTGGGTCTCGAAATTGAACAAGGAAATTTAATTTCGCAAATTGATTCTGAACTGATTCGCATTAGGAACTAGTCCTCTATAATCGCTATTGAGGATTCGTAGTATACAGATGCTTCGAATGTGAGGGATGGATATCAGTGGTCGAAAGAAATTGATGGCTTGATTATGAAGAAATGAGAAAGTTCAGTGAACCTTAGACTTGTAGAGTCCAAGTGTTGAAAATACTGAAACAGAGTTTCAGAATCGTCAAGTGGCAAGTAATGCGGAAAATAAAGAGTTGTGAATCAACCAAGTTAAAGACAAAACATTTGTTATGCTTAAGATCAATGATTCAAATGTGTCTCATATTCATAAAGATTCAATTACAAGTGTTTGAATGTAAAACACACTAAAACTCTCATATGGCTCTCTGAAAATTAGTCTAAACAGCAAAATGTGCAAAATGAATAGGAAGAAGCAGAGAATGATCCACTTTATAATGGATCCCAAAGGACCTATTTATAGGCTTTGGAAAAGCCCATGGCATGGCTTGACTAATTAGGTGTTGACACGTCATCATGACTTAGTTATCAGTTGACACCTTCGCCCTACTTAACGGAGAATGGATGAAATATTCCAATTCCGTTAGGGTTCCATCCATGTTTTGAGTCTTCACATTTCTTGAGCCATCTTGATCAACATTGAAAGTGTGATGAGCAACATGAGCATCATGTTGCTCCATTGTCTTCTAAGAATGTCATCAACTTCCAGAAGTGTCATTGATCAAGTTGAGTTGTTTGTTGAATGTTTAAATATGTCTTGAACTTGAAGATGTACAACCACATGTTCATGATGGACCATGAACGAACTGCATATACCATTGAGTATTTGGACGTGTTGTCATTATACATGATGTGCCATGTGCAATCTTATTGAGCCATCAATGTGATCATGTTGATCCATTGGCTTGAGATGAGCCACCAAGTATTCATATTGAGCCATCAATGTCTTGATGCTCCACATATGATCTAGATGTACCATCTGAGATCATGATGATCCAAATTGCTTTCTTTAAGTGCTCCATGTTCAGCAAGTGCTCCATGTCAACTGCAAGTGCTCCATGTAAGCTGCAAATGCTCCATGTTCAACAAGTGCTCCATGTCAACTGCAAGTGCTCCATGTCAGCTTCAAGTGCTCCAATATCTGCTTCTTCAAACACTTGTTGAATCTTCATGATCTTTCCAACTTGAAACATTATGATAATATTTGTTAAAGAGATATAGACATAGACTCAACTTATTTCAAGTGACAATGACATACAAATATTTTCCAACAGTTTCCCCCTATGTGATGGTTACTGAAATAAGGAGTAAAAAATAAAAGTAATAACAAATGAGATTAACAAAAAGATGAATTACTAGCAACAAAAAGAAAACATCATCCACATGTTTTTAAAAAGAAAACAAAAACACACAATCTAAAATTTGTTTCTTAAGTTTAGTAACCATTGCCGAAAACTTAAAAACCAAGTGTGTTCTTGAATTATCTTCACTCTTAACACATTATCTTGGTCTCCTGTTCTCTTCAACAAACCAATGACGCCTTGAATAAATTCAGAAGAGAATAGATGTTTCTGAGAGATTCTCATAAATCGCAATCGACCCTTAGACGAAAATAAAACTCCTCTATGTGGGTTTTTCAGTATGTTCCCAGGTGAATCATTTTCCATATTCAGATCCAAATCTGGCTCGTCATCTTCTTTTTCTCCAAGTTGTCCTATCTCCCACTCAACACTGAAGTCAATAACCATATACAAAACATATTGTCTCAAGCGTTGTAGGGCATCTGCATATGCTTCATTAGTACTTTCCCTCTGCATCAACCAAATAATCAACAATTTGATATCAGCTTGATTTATCCTAAGGAAATCAGCTTCAGAAAACATGAATTCAGAGTTATCTGTCCTTTTTCCTTGAAAGAGGGCATATGGCATATTTTGAAATTCCCGGATGTCAATTTTACTAAGTGAGGCAATTTTGAACGTTGACGATACAAAGACAACTTGAATTGGTTTCTTCAAGAAGAATATTTTCTTCACCTCTTCAATGTCTATACCAGACTTAACTGGATACATTGCACTTGGCCACAGATTGAACTTTGTACCATTCGGGGGTACATGAATATCCCAGTTATCTTTAGAGGAATCTGAAGGAGGTGCAAAGGAGTTTGTAGGTTTGATGACCTTAATCTTCTGATATATCTCAGTATCAGGATTGAAGAAGATGGTCCTATTTGGAGATGGTGCTCGAAATATTTTCTCATGCCACGTGTCTCTTTCTTCACAAAAGATCTTTCAATATTAATAAACACCTCTTGTTTAGACTCTAACTCCTTAGCTTCAAGTTGCTTTGCTAACTCTTCATCTATTTTCATTTTAGCTTCTTTAGATAACTCCTTCTTTGACTTGAAGATAACATTTTGTTTTCCTCTATCTTTGGGATCAATTTGAGGAAGCTTTGGTTGGACGATTGGTTGTGATATGGTGATAGGTTCGATGATGTAAACATATGTTCTTCTTGGAACCTTTAGAGTTGGATCCTTGATCCCTTGATTTTGAATAAGTTCCTTTTCTGTTTCTGCCATCTGTGCTCTTTTTTTTGAGCTTTTAATCTTGCTTCAGCAGCCATTTTGTCGATTGACTCTAATTTTTCATTTCTCCTTTTCTCAAACTCATTTGGTGAATCTGGAATCTGATCAATGATAGGAGAATGACTTGATCGGGACTTGTCTACCTTTTCCCCCTCTGTCAGGTGGCTTGTCATTTGAACCAAATAACTTTACCAGGATCAAGTCTAGCTTGGAATCAGACGAGGCAACTTTTTGTAGAAGCGCACATATATCAGAAGAAGGAGATTGTGACTTGATATCGTTGACTTCATTGACTAGTAGCTAAATAGTTTTCTGAAGAGAAGAGATGTCACCCGAGTAGTTATGGACCTTATAATAATTGTATTTAGATAGATTTTCAATGTCAAAGCGCAATGAATCCAATTGACGTTGAACTTGCTCACTAAATGCTTGAAAGGGAGTAGTTGAAGATGATTATGAAGCTTTAGAAAGTTCTGCAACTGACTTTTCAAGAGTGGCAATATACCGATCTTGAGCAGTGATATGACTCTACAGATGATCTAATTTAGCTTCATAGACGGAATCTAGACTTGATAAAGACTGAAGAAAATCATTAATCTTTTGATACATCGGAGAGAGATGATCTTCGATGGTCTTTTGATTTTTCAGATCTAGAGTTTCGATCCGCCACATGAACAATTTGTCCCTTGATATACGCATCCGTTTCATGAAAGACTTAAATGATGACCTTAAGTTTTGTCAATTGTGCGTCTGTTGTCTCGTTAAGGATACACACATTGTATGCCAGACGTTCAAGATACCATTGAAAATTTTCCAGATATTCAGAATGAGAGGATGTGTGAAAGAGGATTTCCTCAATACCGTCAGCTACCATATGGGCAATTAGTCTAATACGTTCAGGCTCTGGTTCATATGTATTTGCTTCATCTGTATCTGCTGGAGTACCATCGTCCCGAGGAGGATCCGGAGGAAAAGAAGAGAACTTTGCTTCTTGAGTATCATCCTTGTCTTGAGACTCTTTTTGAGGCGAGGGAGAGTAATCATCAAGATCAATGCTAAATGTCCTGGTAGATGCTTTGGAGTATAAGACAATTGACATGTCATTTGGTTCATCATCAACTATCAGTCCTTCACTGGAAGGTATGTCTACCGTCTGCATAAGAGTATCCTCGTCTTGATTATCTTGTACTGGAGAGCTTTTAGTAAGATCTTCAAGTTCGGATTGCTTTTCACCGTCTTGGTCATTGTCCTCATTTGAGTCTTAATCAACCAAGGAGACACGATTGCTTGGACCTTATAGATCCGACTGAAAGCACGCTGGTGAAACTGGAGCTGGGGATGATGATCCGACATAATCAGATGGAGCTTGAAACAAGGAATCTAAGAAAGGGAGTGGCTTAGAGGTTGTACCAGATTTAGGAGGAGATGTGTGCTCATCTAAATCTGCTCCAAGATTATATTAAGATACGTCTAGATATGGGATAGAAGGCGGTTGATCTGACTTTGATCGCTTCTTCTTCTTTGTCGACTTCTTGGATGCATGATCTGAGTGCTTCCTTTTCCTTTTGGGAGAAGAAGTAGTTCCCTTGATGTATTTTTGATATGAGCACAAAGAAACACTGTTTTCACCTAGTTTGGCTAGGATGACAACTGGAATCATGACTGGATGTGAAAACTCAGATTCAGATGCAGTACGAATTTGATATGGTGACATATGCAAGAATAGTGGCAGTGGGCCTTTTGGAATCTCCTCTGGTGTAAGATTACTATTATTTATGACATCATGAATAATGATGGACCACCAGCGAGGATGATGAATCAGGAACTTATTGTTTAAGGCAGGGAGAAAGGTGAGGAAGTCTTCCCAAAGAATAGAGACATAGTCAACATTGATATCATAGAAAAGTCCATACATGACAATCCAAAGATCTGTTTTACCACGACTGCGTCCACCAACTGATCCGAAAAGACACCGAGTGAGAACGGAACTGAGAAAGTGCCATGGCGTGGGAATGAGAGCTTTCTTAATTCTTGAAAGGTTTTGTTCAACTTTTTCTTCAAATTTGTACCCTATTTCCTTGAACATTGTCAACAGTTGAGTAGAATAAGGTGTGGAAAATGTTGAAGGTTCACGAGAACCATTGTTTAGACCTAAGCAAGTTGTGAACTCTTATTTACTTAGAACCAAGTTAGTTTGACAAAGGTCAAATTCAACATCAAGCTCTTTTGAATTTGCTCTTGGAGATATGACTGCAGATTGAAAGACGTATGAAATAAGAGACTGTGGAGTTGGAGAAGTAGCCGTGAGTGTATATGCCAGTTGGCATTTTTGCAAATATTCAACTATAACGCCGACTTATGTAGGTTGTTCCTGAGTTTTAAGAAGTGCAATATAGTTGGATGCAACCATGGCGATTTTAGGTGATGATGAGTCTGCCACAGTGGAAGGTCCAGTTGCTTGAGATTTGGACGCCTTATGAGAAGATTTTGCTTTAGAAGTCTATCCATCTTCTTTGGAAGCCATGTCCTGAATGAACAAAAGAAGAGCAAAAATTGGAATTAATTGTTAGTTAAAGAGAGATAGCTAGAGAATTATAGCTTATAACCTTAACTAAATTCCAAAAGAAAAGGGGGGCGGGGGGTTAGGAAAAAAAATGTATGAGTTTGCATTAACTAAACAAAGTTGTGACTTGAGTAGTATTGTTGATTCAACTATGGACAAGAGGAATCTGCAAATTCAAATTCACTAAGTATAGGCTTGAAAGTGAATGACATAACAAGTAGAAATAGAAGAAAAAAAACTTGATGTCATATAAAAAAATTGATGTTACTAAAGCATAGCAAAAGTGCAAGGATCAAGTAAAACTGCTAAGTCATGGCCTATGGTGACTAGGGATATCAAATAAAGATGTCTTTAGAAACTAACATGAAATTCAGTATCATAGAGACAGTAAGTGAGAACTATATATGTAAATCCAAGAGCACATAGAAGAGTGAATGGATCTAGATAGAGTTGAAAAAAAAAAATATATGTATTGACCTTAGGAAATCATGTAAAAGACATGAAATTAAGATAAAAAAAGGATAAGAGAAGAGACACTTCCTTAAAGAAGGAGAGTAAAGGGAATAAACTTGTGAGAATGGTAAAGAAAGATATGCACCAATAAGTATAATGCTCATAGGAGAAATTTGATCAAAGGATCAACACTAATTAACGTAAGCATGGTACGTGAAAATGAATTAATGATCAATAAAGAGAGAAAAAAAATAAAAAAAAATGTTGCTCACCCAATATGATTGCAACAAGAAGAAGTGCTCACAAAGAAAAAGTGATAGGCCAAAACTAAGGGATCCTAACGATAGGAACATATTTATAGACTAATGAATACACGAATCATCAACGAAGGAAATACAATATTATCACATGAGGTTATGTGAACAAGAAAGAGAGATATGACTTACCAGTTGATGTTTTGTTGAATCAATGAGAAACACAAAGATAAAGCAACAATTTGACAACGACACTTGAGATATTAAAATCTATGTTATGTCAAGAGAAGCAAAAAAAAATTTAGAAAGTTTACACCATGATCATCATTAAGTGTAAGGAAAGAGAATGAATACTTACCTAGAGTGATCAAGGAATGTGATACTCAACACAAAGTGATGGTGGACCACGTGATGACAATCACTGAACACAAGATGATCTAACAATTAATGTTAACTTGACTATGATGTACATAAAAATAATATATATGCAACACATGATGATGCTCATGAAACTAACTTGTGACAACTAGGGTTTCACAAAAGTTTGTGATACTTACCTAGACTTTGGAGATGATCCACGAAAGAAGCCATGTTATATTGATGATACTCCAACAACGAGTTGATGATGCAAAAAAAAAAGAACTAAGGTTTGACAAAGAAAAATCGATCACTAGGGTTTAAACAATTAAAAAACGATCATTAGGGTTTAAAAAAATTAACGATGCTCACCTAGAGTTTGTGCATGGCACAAATATGATTATGAGATGTTACTCTAAAGGTTTGATGGCACAAGAGAAGGATATTCTCTGTTCTTGCTTGACGATCACGAAAAAAAGAAATTGACGGCGCAAGTTGGTGACAGTCACAAAAGTTGTTGCTCACGAGGGCTGTTGATTCTCCAAGTGATGATCGATGTTGCTGTTGCTCAAGATAGACGTTTGCTTGGTGGGGAGAATAGTGGGTGCACAACAGGTTGATTACGATTAGGGAATGGAACAAGTGGGATTAAAGATTTTCACAATGGGAGGCTTTTATAGGTTACAACTAGGGTTAGAGATGTGTTGCACAAGAAAACGAAATATTGAGTGTGGCCCAAGAATTGAGTACGACGCAAGTAGAGAGGTTACATGGGTTGAGTGTGGGGCAAGAAGAATTATGGGGAAATAAGGTTTTTTCTGTTAGGTTGTTGCGCCAGAAAAATTACGGATTAGGTTTAGGGTTTGCTTAAGAAAGAGTATGGCGCATGTAGGGAAGTGGTTGGAGTAAGGCGCAAGTAAAGAGGGGTTTCGAGGGTTGAGTGTGAGGCAAGAGGAACTTTGGCGCAAGAAGGAGTGATTAAAGAAGATACGGTGGCGTAAGAGAAGAGGTGGCACAAAAGAGGTGTTGGCACAAGAGGGGTTGGCGCAAGAGGAGGTTGTGAAAGAAAAGGGGGAAGTTGCACCAAAGGGTTACCTGCAAAAGGGGGAAGATATGCGCCAAGTGTTTGTGCGAGGGGGAGGCGATGCTCAGAAAGGAATTGGACACGACTGAGGCTGTGCAAGAGAGGAGTTGTTGCACCAAGGAGGTGTTGCGAGGCCGAGGTTGATCCAAGGTGCGCCAAGGAGTTTTAGGAGGGCGAAGTTGCGCCAAGGCTCCTTGCGAGTGAGATGAGTTGCGCCAAGGACTTCTTGTAGTTGCGAAGTTGCGCCAAGCTCAATGAGATGTTCGATTTTGCTTCAAAAAATATCGATGTTTCTCCAACAAAAGAGATCTCGATGTTGCTCCAAGCGAGAAATTTTGAGTGTGTGAGAAACAAGAAATGAGAAAACAAGAATGAGAAGTAGAAGTGAAGTATTTATAGGTGGAGGATTCTAGGGTTTCTCAACGAGCCAAAGTAGGGCTTGCATGGGCCATCTTGTGGGCTCAAAAGACTTGGATGACACTCAAGTATAAATAGGAAAATGTCAACTTGAGTCGAGAGCAAGAAAATGATGACGTGAGATTCAATAAAGAAAAGGTGGCGCATGCATGGATGTTATCTTAAGAGACATGCATGGCACCAAAGGAATGTTCATAACCTACTCGAGACGTGTATGGCCTACTTGAAACGTGCATGGCTTAGAAAAAAATGTGTATGACCTATTTCAAAACGGGCGTGTCACATTTATTCTGCTTTATGTAGACATGATTATCCATATGGACGTGATGCACCAAGTAGCTGAAGATGCTCCAAGTTATTGAACATGCTCCAATGTTCTTGAACATGTGCAAAGTTAGTGAAAATGCTCCAAGTTCTTGAAGATGTATCAAGACGTTCAAGTTCGTACAAGAGACTTCCAGTTGAACCAAGGTAGTTGAGATAGTCAATGATGGTCCAAGAGATCAAATTGATGAAGATGGTCCAAGATACCTCAAGATGATCAAGATGAATGAAGATGCTTCATTCATTCGTCCAGTTGATCCAAAGAAGTGGATATGGTCCAAGTTGATCCAAGTGCATGAAGTTACTCCAAGTTGGTTCAAGTTGGATGAAGATGGTCCAAGAGATCAAGTTGGTGAAGTTTCTCCAAGGTACTTCCAGTTGGTCCAAAGAAGTGGAGATGTTCCAAGATGGTCCAAGAGCATGCAGTTGCTCCATGTTGGTCAAAGTTGAATGAAGTTGCTCCAAGAGAATATAAGATGCTCCAAGTTGAATGCAGTTGCTCCAACTTTGGTTCGTGTACCTGAAGTTGTTCCATGTTGGTCCAAGTGCATGAAGTTGCTCCAAGATGCTTCCAGTTGGTCCAAGATGGTTCACAATTGGCCTTTAAAGCATTTGATATTTTCCTTCTTCATTATATATGAGAATGCTCCATGAACCAAGACTAGCACGTATGGTTTACTTGAAGATGATGGTTCACTTGTCATAAGATGTTCCACTTGGCTAAGGATTTTCCATGATCAAGTAAGTGATATTCTCTATCTAACTTAGCTGCTTTACCTAGATTCTAAGGAATGTGTTAAACAGAAAGTATGAAAATGCAAACACTAAATAATATAACTTTTATGGTGATGTGTGTGCATGTGGATAGAGAATCTGAGAAGGAAATAGTAAAATGTGATGAAGTGTGTGCATGTGGAAGAATTAATCATAAAGAAAAAATTAAAACTTAGAAGGATGACAAATTTAGAATCATTGTGGATTATCTTGCTATCACTTAAATATTTATCAATCAACTAAATTCTGTGTATGATCCTTCACTTCGCATTGTAGAGATTTTGTTTGTTGATTAATTTTGAACTCATTAAAATCACACAAAATAACCCATTTTGAACTCACCAATTATGTCTCACCGCAATGCATATATTTGTGTCCATGGACTAGTTACTTCCCAAACCCTAAATACTGACAATCCTCATAAACGTTCCCCACTTATTTTGAACAACATTCGTTTTTGGCATTCCTACCACCTATACCCTTTTATTTACCCATTTTGTTTCAAAAGGTATCGCCAAATTCCAAGTGACATGACTTTAAAAGAAAAATACTATGTATATAATAATTGACCTAAGAATATAACTACACTTTTTTTTGATTTTTTTGATCTTTCTCATAACTCTAACTTTGACAAAGTAAACAAACAATTAATTTCTAGCTTTCTTTCTATTTGTACTTTAGTTCGTGACTTTCTAAGAAATTCATTGGAGTGCTCGGAATCGCTTAGGTCACTAATGGAGTCCATGACTTTCTATGAAACCCTTTTAAACAATATTTCTTCCCATCCATCCAAGCTTTTATAACTAGGTGGACAAATATAAATATCCCCGGGAAGAATACTCATCGAGTCTCAAATGTCA